CCCCCCCCCCCATATTACTTAACAGGCCTCACATTTTCACAGATTTATCGTTACATTCTTGGTTTAAGTAACAATATGAAATGAAAATTCGTTTATAATCGTAGCAATGTTAACATCAACACAACTTACTAATCTCTCTCCCCCACTCTCTTCCCCTCTCCCTCTCTCCTCTCTCTTTCTCCCCCTCTCTTTCCTCATTCCTCTCTCTCACTATCTCCCCTTCTCCCCCTTCTATTTCTCCCTCCCTCTCTTCCCCACTACCTCTCTCCCCCTCTCTCTTCTTCTCCCTCGCGCTCTCTATCTCCCCTCTCTTTCTCCCTCTTTCTCACTCCCTCCTCCCGCTCTCTTGTTCTTTTTTCATCCAAAGCTTCTGAAAAGGGTAAAAGGAAATCGAAGACATTTTCGAAAGGTGAGTAGTCCATGGGTTCATTCATTACAAATATTAATTTTTCGGAAAAACTTTGACCTTGTCTTTATCCGGTAATTGGACGCCATTTGGTTTTGATAACGACTCCGGCTCAATAACCCGGCTCCATTCCAATGTAAAGTTTCTAATTTAATAAACAGCATTCAATGGTATTAGCTGAGGCTATTAACAATTATTAGAGATTTACCCACTTGACAAGATACCCACTGAAACCATTAACCAATGACAACATTGCCCACTGATAACATTACCCACAGACAGCATTACCCACTGAAAATATGACCTAATGACTTACCCTTAGACAACATTGCCCACTGACAACATTACCCACTGACAACATTACCCACTGACAACATTACCCACTGACAACATTACCCACTGACAACATTACCCACTGAAAGTACAACATATTTACAGTATTACCCACTTAAGAACTAATAACTGACGATAGTACGACATATTTACAGTATTACCCACTAAATAACTAATAACTGAAGATATTATCCAATGACAACATTACCCTCTGATAGTACGACTAATTTACAGTATTACCAACTGACAACATTGTACATGTACATTATAGCCAAATGACAATATACCCACTGACATCACCCACTGATCGTATGACAAGTTTATAATATTACCACCTGACAACTGTTCGGCATTACAGCGTTGTTATGTAAATTATTAGCCATTAGCCGTATGTCCCACTAAAAAGTGTATCCTCACTTACAGTATTACCGATAGATGTGTCGACCTGAAGTGTTTTAGTCTGGCTAAGACCACACCCCACGTGTAGCCTCAAGCGTTGATTTCTATCAAACCAAACCAGATGTATAGCGTCTAGCAATATTTCTATAAATCTAAATCACAATTGTAGCTCCTAACTTAAGTTAGTATAAAACTACAACATAAATGTAGCCTCTAGCCTCACTTTCTATAAAACTACAACACAAGTGTAGCATCTAGCATCTGTTTGTATAAAACTACAACACAAGTGTAGCCTCTAGCATCAGTTTGTATAAAACTACAACACAATTGTAGCCCCTAACTTTAGTTAGTATAAAACTACAACACAAATGTAGCCTCTAGCATCAGTTTTTATAACACTACAGCACAAATGTAGCCTCTAAATCAGTTTGTATAGAACCACAACACAAGTGTAGCCTCTAGCATCAGTTTAAATATAACAACAACACAAATGTAGCCTCTAGCAACAGTTTGTATAAAACTACAGCACAAGTGTAGCCTCTAAATCACTTTGTATAAAACTACAACATAAGTGTCGCCTCTAGCATCAGTTTCTATAAAACTACAACACAAGTGTAGCCTCTAGCATCAGTTTCTATAAAACTACAACACAATTGTAGCATCTAACTTTAGTTAGTATAAGACTACAACACAAATGTAGCCTCTAGCATCAGTTTCTATAAAACTACAACACAAATGTAGCCTCTAGCATCAGTTTCTATAAAACTACAACACAAGTGTAGCCTCTAGCATCAGTTTCTATAAAACTACAACACAATTGTAGCCTCTAGCATCAGTTTCTATAAAACTACAACACAATTGTAGCCTCTAACTTTAGTTAGTATAAGACTACAACACAAATGTAGCCTCTAGCATCAGTTTCTATAAAACTACAACACAAATGTAGCCTCTAGCATCAGTTTGTATAAAACTACAACACAAGTGTAGCCTCTAGCATCAGTTTCTATAAAACTACAACACAATTGTAGCCTCTAAATTTAGTTAGTATAAGACTACAGCACAAATGTAGCTTCTAGCATCAGTTTGTATAAAACTACAGCATAAGTGTCGCCTCTAGCATCAGTTTCTATAAAACTACAACACAAGTGTAGCCTCTAGCATCAGTTTCTATAAAACTACAACACAATTGTAGCCTCTAACTTTAGTTAGTATAAAACTACAACATAAGTGTAGCCTCAAACATTAGTTTCTATAAGACTACAACACAAGTGTAGCCTCTAACATTAGTATCTATAAAACTACAGCACAAGTATAGCCTCTAAATCAGTTTGTATAAAACTACAACATAAGTGTAGCCTCTAGCATCAGTTTCTATAAAACTACAACACAAGTGTAGCCTCTAGCATCAGTTTCTATAAAACTACAACACAATTGTAGCCTTTAAATTTAGTTAGTATAAAACTACAACACAAATGTAGCCTCTAACTTTAGTTAGTATAAGACTACAACACAAATGTAGCCTCTAGCATCAGTTTCTATAAAACTTCAACACAAATGTATCCTCTAACATTATTTGCTATAAAAAAACAACATAGGTGTAGCCTCTGGCATCAGTTTCTATAAAACTACAACACAAGTGTAACCTTTAGCATCAGTTTCTATAAAACTACAGCACAAATGTAGCCTCTAGCATTTGTTTGTATAAAACTAAAACACAAATGTGGCCTCTAGCATCAGTTTGTATAAAACTACAGCACAAATGTAGCCTCTAGCATTTGTTTGTATAAAACTACAACACAAATGTAGCCTCTAGCATCAGTTAGTATAAAACTACAACACAAATGTAGCCTCTAGCATCAGTTTCTATAAAACTACAACACAAGTGTAGCCTCTAACATTAGTTTCTATAAAACTACAACACAAGTGTATCCTCTAACATTAGTTTCTATAAAACTACAGCACAAATATAGCCTCTAAATCAGTTTGTATAAAACTACAACATAAGTGTAGCCTCTAGCATCAGTTTCTATAAAACTACAACACAAGTGTAGCCTCTAGCATCAGTTTCTATAAAACTACAACACAATTGTAGCCTCTAAATTTAGTTAGTATAAAACTACAACACAAATGTAGCCTCTAGCATCAGTTTCTATAAAACTACAACACAAGTGTAACCTCCCGCATCAGTTTCTATAAAACTACTATAAAAATGTAGCCTCTAGCATCAGTTTGTATAAAACTACAGCACAAATGTAGCCTCTAGCATCTGTTTCTATAAAACTTCAACACAAATGTATCCTCTAACATTATTTGCTATAAAAAAAACAACATAGGTGTAGCCTCTGGCATCAGTTTCTATAAAACTACAACACAAGTGTAACCTTTAGCATCAGTTTCTATAAAACTACAACACAATTGTAGCCTCTAACTTTAGTTAATATAAAACTACAACACAAATGTAGCCTCTAGCATCAGTTTGTATAAAACTACAGCACAAATGTAGCCTCTAGCATTTGTTTGTATAAAACTACAACACAAATGTAGCCTCTAGCATCAGTTAGTATAAAACTACAACACAAATGTAGCCTCTAGCATCAGTTTCTATAAAACTACAACACAAGTGTAGCCTCTAACATTAGTTTCTATAAAACTTCAACACAAATGTATCCTCTAACATTATTTTCTATAAAAAACAACAACACAGGTGTAGCCTCTGGCTTTAGTTTTAAGTGTTGCTTCTAGCATTAGTACTATAACACTACACAATAAGTGTAGCATTTAGCTTTAGTACAATAAAACTGCAACAAAATGCAGCTTTAGAGTGTTTCCTCAAACATCCACATCTAAATGCCAAACATTTAACAAATGTTAACTACGTCTGACATTGAACCATGACAGATGCCTTACTCTCCGGAATTTCAACGATAGATGGAAAGAAAGTTCGTGGCAAGAAACATACAGGTGAGAAGAACATGTATTATGAATTAATATGACCTAAGTATCTGCAACTGAAACTGTATGGTGTGTCATTGCTTATTCTTACATAATTCTAGTCACTTGAAACTAAATGTGTATTGTTGGCGTACTCTGATTTAATTCTAGTCACCTGAAACTATATGTGTATCATTGGCTTACTCTGATGTAATTCTAGTCACCTGAATCTGTATGTGTATCGTTGGCTTATCTGATGTAATTCTAGTCACCTGAAACTGTATGTGTATTGTTGGTTTACTCTGATGTAATTCTAGTCACCTGAAACTGTATGTGTATCGTTGACTTACTCTGATGTAATTCTAGTCACCTGAAAATGTATGTGTATCGTTGGCTTACTCTGAGGTAATTCTAGTCACATGAAACTGTATGTGTATCGTTGGCTTACGCTGATGTAATTCTAGTCACATGAAACTGTATGTGTATCGTTAGCTTACTCTGATGTAATTCTAGTCACATGAAACTGTATGTGTATCGTTGGCTTACTCTGATGTAATTCTAGTCACCTGAAACTGTATGTGTATCGTTGGCTTACTCTGATGTAATTCTAGTCACCTGAAACTGTATGTGTATCGTTGACTTACTCTGATGTAATTCTAGTCACCTGAAAATGTATGTGTATCGTTGGCTTACTCTGATGTAATTCTAGTCACATGAAACTGTATGTGTATCGTTGGCTTACTCTGATGTAATTCTAGTCACATGAAACTGTATGTGTTTCGTTGGCTTACTCTGATGTAATTCTAGTCACATGAAACTGTATGTGTATCGTTGGCTTACTCTGATGTAATTCTAGTCACATGAAACTGTATGTGCATCGTTGGCTTACTCTGATGTAATTCTAGTCACCTGAAACTGTATGTTTATCGTTGGCTTACTCTGATGTAATTCTAGTCACCTGAAACTGTATGTGTATCGTTGGCTTACTCTGATGTAATTCTAGTCACCTGAAACTGTATGTGTATCGTTGGCTTACTCTGATGTATTTCTAGTCACCTGAAACTGTATGTGTATCGTTGGCTTACTCTGATGTATTTCTAGTCACCTGAAACTGTATGTGTATCGTTGGCTTACTCTGATGTAATTCTAGTCACCTGAATCTGTATGTGTATCGTTCGCTTATCTGATGTAATTCTAGTCACCTGAAACTGTATGTGCATCGTTGGTTTATCTGAAATAATTCTAGTCACCTGAAACTGTATGTGTATCTTTGGCTAACCTAATGTTATTCTAGTCACCTGAACTGTATGCGTGTCATTGCTTCTTCTGATCTTATTCTAGCCATTTGCAACTGTATCTTGTGTCGTTTCTTGTTTTCGTTGCTGATCTGGATAGACACTATTACTTTACTGTGTGAGGAATCTTCTAATTATTCTATGGTAATACTCGTAATTTTAAAATTTAGCAGGGTACCGGGCCTCCAGGACTTGCTACCAACAGTCACTGCCGAGCAATGCCTGACTGTGACCTACATATAGAGTTTGTGACTCTCCGGACTGACCTTCCTTTCGGCAAACTATTGCAAAACCACTAAAATTTTAAGAATTCAAATCAAACACATTGCACAATAGACTGTACGCCTCCATCCAAAAAGTGTAGTCCAGAGGCGAATCTCCCCCCCCCCACCACATCCTCCTCATAAGGCCCAATCTCACATGAAACTAATCATAACAAAAACATACACATAATTGTATTAGACGTTTTTGTATGTGGAAGATTACGAGCAACAGAGCCATTTTATGATTAAACAAAAAAATAAAATAAAAAGAATATGCAGATGTTGATCTGGGAATAGCTAGTTATATTTTCTCGACAATATAATAAATTTCCAAGAATTAAACTTTCTTAAATGGCTTTATATTAAATTTTCTTTTAAAATCGATGTAAAAGAATGTCACAACAAATGAATGTTTCTAAATTGTTTCCAGATGAAGACAACATTCTTCAGGAATCCGATTCAGAAGGTAAGACGTCACAATTTGCCGAGTCGGTACTGAATGAAGATATCCTGAAATACCAGCTTTAAAATGATGATATTGTGGAGAGTTCGGATCTGGAGGCGACAGGGGTTTGGGGTACTGACCACCTGATCAAAGGGCCTGGGGCGTCAGATCTCAAAGCAGGGTTATTGGCCAACTGACCAAAGGGTCTAGCGTATCAGATCTCACAGCAGGGTTACTGGCCAACTGACCAAGGGTCTAGCGTAACAGATTTCCCCGGGACGACAGTTACGCTGCGGGTGTATGATCATTTTGACGGTTGGAAAAATTAAGTACCTGTGATTTGGGAATGAGATTACAGACGTGGGAAGGAATCTCTATGGGGTCGGGACTTATAAATAGGGAACCTTGGACAGATATGGATAGAACTCAGCCGGACAGAGAAGACGACAGTCGAGGGAGAGCTACACCGGGCGGAGGGCGAGCCGGACAGTCTACTGGACATGAGTAGAAGATAGACAGCAGAAGACGGTACCCCGGGACAGTGGGAGCAGAGTTTCAAGATATTGATTGTAGAGCAGATCAATTAAAGTGAAAGGCTACAAATCAATTTGTTGTTACCTGAGTGTTGGAGTAAGAGAGAGATTGAACGATGTTACCATCCACATAAAGTAGATAGAGGAACGAGGCGTTACGCGCTCGTTTCCTTACACTATCTTGAACCACCAGCGTTGAAATAATGCTATACTAAACTAGCAGCGTTAAAATTTTGTCTTATTGTATATACATTCATCTTTGACAATTAACTTTGTCTATTGTCTGTATCATGATGATTATTTCATTATTAATAGCGTGGTTCATGAAATATTCATTCCTTCAGTTAAAGTTAGACTCTAATGTATAAAACAGCGCGACGTCAGAAAAGGAGTTCAGTGAACAAAAAGAATAATGACTAAAAAAATCTTTACGTGTAAAGTAAACAAAATGCAGAAATCATGAGCCATGTCCTGTGAATTAAAAAAGACACACACATCATGAGCAAAGGCATGTGAATTAAACAAGACACACACATCATGAGCAATGGCATATGAATTAAACAAGACACACACATCATGAACAATAGATAACAATTTATCAGTATTTTACATTAAGACTGTTGGATGAGATGTAGCCAACGATTCTTAAGTCATTACACGTACATATGGGCTGAGATCTAGCCAAAGATAACCTTAAGTCAATACACGAACATATGGGATGAGATTGTAGCCAAAGATAACCATAAGTCATTACACGTACATATGGGATGAGATTAGCCAAATATAATCTTAAGTCATTACACAGACATATGGGGTGTGATGTAGCCAAAGATTACCTCAGTCATTACACGTACATATGGGGTGGGATGTAGCCAAGGATTACTTTAAGTCATTACACGTACATATGGGGTGGGATGTAGCCAAGGATTACCTTAAGTCATTACACGTACATATGGGGTGGGATGTAGCCAAGGATTACCTTAAGTCATTACACGTACATATGGGGTGGGATGTAGCCAAGGATTACCTTAAGTCATTACACGTACATATGGGCTGGGATGTAGCCAAGGATTACCTTAAGTCATTACATGTACATCTAATCACAAGACGAGCAACGTTTATTGTTTCAGGGAAGTATAAAAGACGACAATCCAAGTCAGGTAGGTTCATGTTATGGATGTTTTATAGCTAAGAAACAGCTCATCAGATATAATTTTACGTGTTACTGTCTCATGTGTTTGTGTAAGAAATGAGTTGGTGAGTCACTTTAACCCTTGGCGTGAACGGTTAGTTACTGGGCGAGAGCAACGAGAGAAAGTCAATGTACTAACAGTGAAAGTCAGTCTTTAAATTGAGAGGGAAAGTCAGCCTTTAAAATGGCCCTGAAAGTCAGCCTTTAATTTCACAGTGAAATTTCACCCTTAAACTTTCCGATGACGTGGGAGTCAGCAGCCATGTTTACAGATGGAGTAGGATTTCCTAGAAATTGAAGATCCACTAAGAGTTACATGAAAAATCATTTTGTTTTCTGCGCTTCAACAAAGTGTATATTTCAACAGTTCAATTGAATAACAGCTAGCGTTTACATTAACAAACTATTTTTGGCCGACATGTTATTGTATTGCGACTGATAATCTATTGTTGTCACCGACCTGGTGGTAGTGAGGGGAAATGGAAATCGCAAACAAAGCTGTATATGAACTGAAGAAAAAAGTAAATGATAACGCTTTTATCCGCTTTATGTTTCAGTGCATTCGTCCAAGCTCAGCTAGATATATCAGCTTTTGAATAATTATTTTGTTTCTAAACCCACCTCTTTTTCTCCCCCACCCCCCTCTCCTTCCCAGGCAAAAGTCAAAAAGAAGAACAGCCAGAAGATGAAGAGGAAGGAGATTTTATCATCGACTCCGACGGCCGTCAAGGTACGTCACCAATTTTTAAGAATAACGCTTTTATCCGCTTTATGTTTCAGTGCATTCGTCCAAGCTCAGCTAGATATATCAGCTTTTGAATAATTATTTTGTTTCTAAACCCCCCTCTTTTTCTCCCCCCCCCCCCTCTCCTTCCCAGGCAAAAGTCAAAAAGAAGAACAGCCAGAAGATGAAGAGGAAGGAGATTTTATCATCGACTCCGACGGCCGTCAAGGTACGTCACCAATTTTTAAGGTTGATACGTTGCACATGTTTCCGGACCTCACGTAACGTTGAACATACAAACACATTTACGCGATGTCATGAATTTAAACCTCATCTGTCTTAGAACAAGGAAATACACGTAACGCGTTTAAGGGTGGCAACGTGGCGACCGCATGGAGCTACAACAGCAAAAAAAAAACATCAAATTTAAAAGGTAGATTTTCCAACACGATGATCGACCCGTTGGGCGTTCCACTTTTATACGTCATTTATGATTATATTTTGGGAAGTTAGGATTGAGGCTTTGAGCAAATAAATGTATTTAAAATACAACACAACAACCCGTTACCTTGATTCAAAATGTTCTTATGGACAGCTGCTTTTAGAGTGCTAATAAAGGTTTCAATATTCAATTGGATAATTCAATTACTCCAATTTGTCTTTTAACAATCACAGCCATTGGTTGAATGTGTATTTGATCGTCTCCCTATGTTTTTGTAGTGCTATTAAAATATCGTTTTTTTTTTTTATCTATGTTTCTAGTGCTATTAAAATACCTCATTGTATTTTCTCATTTTTTTAGTGTTATTAAAATATTGAGTTTTATCTTCTCCCTATTTATCGATTGGTATTAAAATATCGTACTTTACGTTCTCGCTATGTTCCAAGTTCTATTAAAACATCGTATTTTATCTTCTCACTTTGTTTCTAGTGCTATTAAAATAGTCCATTTTATTTTCTCCCTATTTTTCTTTTGCTGTTAAAATTTCGACTTTGATCTTTTCCTTGTGTTTCTAGTTCTTATAAAATATCGTCCCTGTGTTTCTAGTTCTTATAAAATATCGTCCCTGTGTTTCTAGTTCTATTAAAATATCGTCCCTGTGCTTCTAGTTCTATTAAAATATCGTTTCAACGATCTCTTTTCTTCAGTGACTTTAACGAGAACCGCCAGTGGTCACTATATTGATGACAGCGGCATCCCAGGTCAGTACTTAACTCCAATTCTCCTTAAGGACTACGAAACGGTGACAGATACTATAGCTATGACCCAGGGACGTATACTCATGTTACCAACATCATGTCAATCCTAGAAAAAAAAATTTTCTCTTCTGCATTTTTACCTCTTCTAATTCACCTTCATCTTTGCTCAGCCAAACTCATGAAAACCCCCAGCGGGAGGATGGTAACTGAAGATGGCAGAAGAGGTACGTAAATCATTTTTAAAAAAAACAACGGTTGTCTTATGTGGATTTTGTTATCTAGAGTCGACATCAATTCGCGGTATTTCCATTTGTACTGTTTAAAAATCAGGTTCATACCAAAAACGCGCGTGCATTATTATCTCTGCTTTCATACGTCACTTTCACTTTTTTTCTACTCTTTGTTTTTTAAGTTGTATTTCACAGAAAACCAGCGCTGCCAAAGGGCAAGTACTTTAATTACACTTTAGATCTAAGTGATTTTTAAATTGTTATTTCCCTTCAGCAATATATCATATTTATTAGTTTAAAAAAAAACTAAAACCAATGCTGTTGACCATCGATTAGTCAAATGACTTTATGTGCAAGTGTTTATTGGGATTAAACCAACCTACGATAAGAAATACAGAGCAATATGTTAAATACAATTACTTCAATAAAAATTGGGACAATTTAACGTTAATTTTTTTTTTACATAGAGCATAATTCTAGAAAAATATTTGGTTACAGTATTTCTAAAAGTGACTTGAGTTTGAATAACTTTACAAGCCCTACAATTTCGTGCACTAAATAAAAAAAATTAATGAATAGATACATATTTTATACATTTTGTAAAAAATCAATTGAATAAATTCAAGATAAAAGTTTCCGAACGATACTATTCAAAACGGGAAATACATGGGTAATATCTATTTGTAGCAGAAGTCAGGCTAAGAATTGCTTATGGTTTAAGATGTCAACGTGTTGACCTAATTTTTCAACTTTTAACAGGAAAGTTTTACTGGAAGACAGAGGATGGGAGGTTTATCGACGCAGACGGCAAAGAAGGTGAGGTGACAGCCAGCTGAATTTGTGACAGTCAGCTGAATTTGTGACAGCTGAATTTGTGACAGCCAGCTGAATTTGTGACAGCCAGCTGAATTTGTGACAGTCCTCTGTAATGATGCGTTGATGTAGCGCTCTTTGACAAAATCAAGGAGAACTGACTGATGAGTCATTCCAAACTGACTGATGAATCATTCGAAGCTGACTAATCAGTAATTCGAAACTGACTGATGAGTAATTCAAAGCTGACTGATGGGTCATGTGAAACTGACTGATGGGTCATGTAGAACTGACCGATGGGTCATTCATAAATACATTTTAATATCACAAACATTTAAAAACCACAACAAAACCATTGCCTTTTGCATACATTTTTGTTAAATTATTCAAAATAATTGATTTAATTACCTATTGCCAATGATTTTATCTTCAACCAAAGAAACCATTAAGTGCACAAGTTTTTTTTTTTTTTTTTTTTAAAATAACCGATAGCCTTAGGAAATTGCCCTTTAAAAATAATTGATTTAATTACCTATTGCCAATGATTTTATCTTCAACCAAAGAAACCATTAAGTGCACAAGTTTTTTTTTTTTTTTTTTTTAAAATGACCGATAGCCTTATGAAATTGCACTTTGGGAAAATTAGCGGGCTGTCGAGCTAGTACCAAGCTCTTTCTGCCCTTCTCAAAGCACCCCCCACCCCTTTTTTTCAAACCTGAGTATCGGGCTGCGAAGTGTCACGTTGGAGATCCCCCCTTGCCAGGACAGCCTCCTACGGCCCCAACTCGATCGAGTTCCCAGGGAGGCCACCCCCGCCCAAGGACACCTGGTCGGCCGGTAACGCCGCTGTCACGGCGTCATCAGTCTAGTTTCCCACGGGTCGAGATGGTATATTTAAGTCCTGAAAAACTTTCCGCTTGCATCCCGGGGAAGCGCAAGACGTCATCTAATAAGGATTTCTATTGTGGATTTCTACCTCACAACTAATTCACAAAGCATCTCGAACGAAACGGTTGCCTAGGAAGAATGTCCTCAAGTGCTGTGTAAATAGAATCACCCACTGCCTACTAAGCTATTTTCCTTTCTGGCTGTTTGCCCGCCCGCCTATCTGTCTGTTCTGTCTGACTATTCATAACGAAATGTCTCCTTGGAGACTGATTTCTTAGTTTACGTGACTAAATGACATTAAGTTCACCCGCGTTAGATTTGCAAATTAAATGAACATAAAGTCCAGAACACACGATAAATTTCTCTCTCAAGGTATACATTGTGATTTCATGCAACGTATTAATTTCGCCTGCAGGCCATTTCCATAAATCACCCAGTGGAAGGTTTATCAATGAAGAAGGCAGAACAGGTAGGTTTTAATTTACTAGCTCAATGGATATTTCAAGATGTTCCATAACTTTTTCGAGTCACGGCACCCTTGCTGCATTTTTGTCACCCTTGCTGCATACTGGGGTTCCTAGGGCCCCCTTTTTGCATTCAGTGTTTCCAATAGCACACGTGCGGCACCCTGTTTCACGTATCACCTTTGTGGCACACGGTGTTTTCTATGGCACTCTGTGTTTCTCAAGGGACACTTGTGGTACCCTGTGCTTCACAGGCACCCTTGTGGCACCATGTGTTTCCAATGACACCCTCCCAATTTGTCTAAATATAACAAATGTACTTCAGAATAACTTTTTGTTATCATTGTGAGACACTCCTTTTAAAAAGATACATTTTGTCAATGTTAAATTAGAAAAAAAAACTACTATTTACAATTTCTCCCGTCTGAAAATAAACGAAGTCACTAAACTAAAGTATCGCCAATCAAGTCCTGTAAGAGTCAGCACAATCAGCTATTGTGTTTAAAGAGTCAGCACAACCAGCTATTGTTCAGCTATTTGTTCTCTGACGCTGTGTTCATGTAACACTCGACAATTTTAATCCTAAGGTGTATTGAGACTTTAAGAATGTTAAAGAACTGAATCAGGATTATTTAGCCCGAAAGATGTAAACAATGTGAAGGCTCGGTATCGAAATTTTACCTTTTAAATTTCTATCTGAAACATTTACCGTAATCTTTTGCCTTTAGCGTTTACCACTATATTTTACCTTAATTTATTACTTTATTCTTTTATCTTAATCTAGTACACTATTATTTTACCTTAATCTTATACCTTAATCTTTTACCTAAACTATTAACCTGACTCTTTTGCATTCATCTATTACCTTAATTTTTTTTTACCTTATTTTTTTGCGTCCATCGTTTACCTTAATTTGTACTTTAATCCTTTACCTTAATCTTTTACCTTAAACTTTCTTTAACCTGTTACCTTAATCTTTTACATTAATCTATTACCTAATAATCTTTTATCTAATTTTTTTTTCCTTGACATTTGAGACGTTAAAGTCTATATAAAGATGAGCTAAGTATATAAAATAATTCTACGAAGGGGAATGGTTCAACTGGCTGCCAAGATTATGAATACACTTTGAATGTGTTTTCAAAAAGGTCAGCTCTTGAGATCTAAGGTTCGTTCTTTCGCTAGGCAATGTCATTTGTAAATGTTCAATCGTGATCTGACGACGTTACAACGTGTCTACATCTCTACCTCATCATTTACAGGAAGGTTCAAGCGAGGAGCGGACGGCAGTTATTTTTTTCAATACGATAAAGGTAAGTGCACAACTGTCATGTGATAAAGGTAAGTGCACTACCGTAATATGATGAAGGTAAGTGCACTACCGTAATATGATAATGGTAAGTGCACTACTCTAATATGATAAAGATAAGTGCACTACTTTAATATGATAAAGGTGAGTGCACTACCTTAATATGATTAAGTTAAGTACACTACTGTAATATGATAAAGAAAATTGCACTACTGTAATATGTGGAAGGTAAGTGCACAACTGTAATATGATAAAGGTAAGTGCAATACTGTATAGCTCGTCAGTTGAAATCGCCCGCGGCCATCTTAATCATCGTGAATGCTAATTGTAAACTTGTCTGTGGGTGCGCAGATGGCTCATGGAACCAATTCTGGGACGCAATGGCCTTGTGCAATAGGTGCGGGGTACACTACTACAGTCCTAACGTGAGACAAGTTGTAGGCTTTGTTAGCCACGTTTGGGAGGGAACATGAGAGGACGAGTAGATATGGGTTTATTCTGATTTGTTTAGACTATTGGCATACTTTATATAAAAACCATTTTTTCTTTAAAGTTTCAAAACCTTAATTCAGAGAGGAACCGCATTACTTATAATGGACAAGCAGAGAAGATGTACATTTTTTTGTTGTTTTTTTCAAGACAAATCTATCCGAAGAAGTGACGACAGTTCACGCAGATCTTCTCTAACTCAGAAAGGTAAAGGAAAATGAACTATGATTTAATGTTGTCTTATTTGATTTAGAAGTATTTAAGCTTACATGTTATAAACGTGTGTGTATCTATTGCAGTCTGCAGTGTATCTATTGCAATCTACTTTGTGGCTATCTAGTGCAATCTGCCGTGTGAGTATCTGTTGCAGTTTGCTGTGTGAGTATCTATTGAAATCTGCTGTATGGGTATCTATTGCAGGCTGCTGTGTGAGTATCTATTGCAGTCTGCTGTGTGAGTATCTTTTGCAGTCTGCTGTGTGGACACCTATTGCAATCTGTTGTGTGAGTATCTATTGCAGTCTGCTGTGTGAGTATCTTTTGCAGTCTGCTGTGTGGGCACCTATTGCAATCTGTTGTGTGAGTATCTATTTCAGTCTGCTGTGTGAATATCTATTGCAGTCTGCAGTGTGAGTATCTTTTGCATTCTGCTATGTGGGTGTCTATTGCAGTCTACTGTGTGAGTATCTATTGCAACCTGCTGTGTGAGTATCTATTGCAATCTGCTGTGTGAGTATCTATTGCAAACTACTGTGTGGGTATTTATTGCAGTCTGCTGTGTGGGTATCTATTGCCGTCTGCTGTGTGAGTATCTTTTGCACTCTGCTGTGTATGTATTGCAATCTGCTGTGTGGGTATCTATTGCAATCTGCTGTGTGAGTATATATTGCAGTCTGCTGTGTGAGTATCTATTGCAATCTACTGTGTGAGTATCTATTGCAGTCTGCTTTGTGAGTATGTATTGCAGTCTGCTATGTGAGTATCCCTTGCAATCTGCTGTGTATCTATTGCAATCTGCTGTGTAAGTATCTATTGCAGTCTGATGTGTGAGAATCTATTGCAATCTGCTGTGTGGGTATCTATTGCAGTCTGCTGTGTGGGTATCTATTGCCGTCTGCTGTGTGAGTATCTTTTGCAGTCTGCTGTGTATCTATTGCAATCTGCTGTGTGGGCATCTATTGCAATCTGCTGTTTGAGTATCTATTGCAGTCTGCTGTGTGAGTATCTATTGCAATCTACTGTGTGAGTATCTATTGCAATCTGCTGTGTGGGTATCTATTGCAATATGTTGTGTGAGTATCTATTGCAATCTACTGTGTGAGTATCTATTGCAGTCTGCTGTGTGGATATCTATTGCAACCTGCTGTGTGAGTATCTATTACAGTCTGCTGTGTATCTATTGCAATCTGCTGTGTGGGTATCTATGGCAATCTGCTGTGTGAGCATCTGTTGCAGTCTGCTGTATGAGTATCTATTGCAATCTGCTGTGTGAGTATCTATTGCAGTCTGCTGTGTGAGTATGTATTGCAGTCTGCTGTGTGAGTATTCATTGCAATCTGCTGTGTGAGTATCTATTGCAATCTGCTGTGTGAGTATCTATTGCAGTCTGCTGTGTGAGAATCTATTGCAATCTGCTGTGATAGTATCTATTGCAGTCTGCTGTGTGAGTATCTATACCATTCTGCTGTGTGTGTATCTATGCAATCTGCTGTGTGTGTATCTTTTGCAGTCTGCTGTGTGGGTATCTATTGCAATCTGCTGCATGAGTGTCTATTGCAATTTGCTGTGTGAGTATCTATTGCAATCTGCTTTGTGATATATATTGCAATCTGCTGTGTGGGTATCTATCGCAATCTGCTTTGTGAGTATCTCTTGCAATCTGCTGTGTGGGTATCTATTGCAATCTGGTGTGTAAGTATCTATTGCAATGTGCTGTGTGAGTATCTATTTCAATCTGTTGTGTGAGTATCTCTTGCAATCTGCCGTGTGGGTATCTATTGTTTCTTAAATATTCAGCCCCATAACATGAATCTGCACGCAATGTAATCTGTCATGGTTGTGCTGGTATAAATATTTTGACAGTGACACTGACAAATGGCGCGCTGACAAAAGTATCAATGAAAGTTAATGACGATGAAGATCAGGACACAGTGTCATACTTGGATGTCACTCAGTTAGTGAGTAGCAGAAATTAAAGAGGGTAGGCTTCGCTGGGCTGGACACTTAGAAAAAATGCCAAATGACAGCGTAGTGAAGAGGGTACATCACAAAAACCCTAGAGGAAAGCTGCTCAGAGGGAGACGGGGGCTTAGATCAATGGATGTCGCGGAAAACGATCTACTACAACTGGGAATCAAAGGATAGGGAAAAAGCATCCGTTAGGTTTTGGTGGCAGCAAGTGGTAAGGTAGGTCGTAGCCCTGCATAGGCTATAGCGCCACGGGTATGAATGGATGGCTCAACTTGATTTGTTGCGTTGTTTTTAAAAGATCAACATTTGATGGCTTAACTTATTTTGTTGTCGTTCCAGAACGCTTTACAAAGACATCCAGTGGACGGTTTGTGGATCACGACGGTAAAGAAAGTAAGTAGTTAACTTAATGTGGTATCCGCAATAAAGCAAGCGTAACTACAAACACTAACAGGTATATGCGGAGAGACACTACCAAGTGTATATGGACAGACGCCAGCAAGTACATATGGAGAGACACTTTTAAGTGTATCTAGACAGACACTATCACGTGCATATATAGATATGCACTGCCAGGTATGCATGGACAGACACCGCCAAGTATATATGGAAAGACGCTACCAAGTATACTTGGACAGACAATATCAGGTATATATGGACAGACAAAACCAATCAAGTATGGACACACACTTTCAAGTGTATATGGCAAGAGACGGCGAAGTATTTATGGACAGACACAACCTAGTGTATATAGACAGATAACCCAATGAATATATAAACAAACACTATATGTTATGAACAGACACCTGCAGGTATATATAGAAACACACTATCAAGTATATATGGACAGACACTACCAAGTATATCTGGACAGACAACATAAAGTATATATAGACAGACACTACCAAGTATATCTGGACAGACAACACCAAGTATATATGGGCAGACACTAACCAAGTATATCTGGACAGACACCACCAAGTATATATGGACAGACACCACTAAGTATATATGCTCAAACGCTTCAAAAACAGCAGAGTGCAATAGATAGTCACCAAGTATATATGGACAGACGCCACCAAGTATATATGGACAGACACCACCAAGTATATATGGACTGAAACTACCTAATTGTTTACGGAGAGACTATGATAATGGTTAGATAGAGATACAAGTCTCTTCAAACGATAACAGCTGGGGTGCCCTGGTGCATTGGGCAAGTTGTACATGATGGTGCATTATTAGCTTTTGTGCACGTTGTAGATTTTGTGTGCATTATTACCACTTACACCTTGAATCTGTAGGTGCATTATCACCATTGAGTAAAGTATATTCATAAAAAATGTCAGTCTATTCTGGACGTCTTACCTTCGTGTACTTTGTCTTGTCACACTAAAGGCGCTGTAACACTAATTTACACTCATAGATTGTGTCTTTCAGATCTGTCCAGGTTGTCTTTTCATTGTGCACTTTGTCTTGTCACACTTAAGTAACAGTAGTTTACACTCATAGATTGTGTCCTTCAAATTAAATACAGCTCAAGGGCCGTTCCGTAGAACATCCAGTGGGTTTTATGTGGACGGTAGAGGAAGAAAAGGTAAGACGTGACACTAATTTTTGACAAGTTTGGGATAACTGCTGGCAGAGGCGTAGCCAGATGGGGGCAAGGGGAATGCGCATGCAGCCCAATCTATGAAATAGGCAAAAAACAAAATGACACCTGTTTTAAATTCATGGATTCAACCTCGAATTTCATACAAGGCCAGGTCTTCCAGTTGAATCTATTGCGCCGAATCTAAGCTGGGAACACTAGCCAAACTTTTGTTGACATTGTCGTAACTAGGGTTGTGAGTTTTTAAGTACTTTTAATGTATCTTCTCTTTCTTCTGAAAGACGCTTTATTGTTGTACATATACAGGGTTTCCTTAATCCATTAAGTCAAACGTGGTTGCTATTTGAAATGACGGAATAGTTTCTAATAGAACGCAGATTATCGAAGTTATTTTAACATATATATATATATATATTTAAATAGTCCCACATCTCCACCGTTTTCAAATTTAAATAAAGAACATTTTCAACTGGCTATAAACAACTTTTCATCTTTGAATTTGTTTGCAGGGAGATTTCGATTGTCGTCAAATGGTTTCTACTACTTTGACGCGAGCGACTCAGGCAAGAATTCCCAAAACAAAGTTTCAATTCAACAGGACTACGGGAGCTGGAGGCGCTGGTCTTTGCTAACAGCCGTTTCCTGTTACTTGTTTTTTTTTAACACTACCCCCTCCTGCATGTCTGTCCCGGGGATCCCCACCCCACCCCACTTGCTCCATGACACACAAAAAGCTCCGAAAACATGACGGCTTTAATTTTCACGACAGTCTTACGTAGCACGGCCATAAAGCCATACCTACTTAATGAGCTGACTTGCCTTTGTGTTTTTTGTTTTTTGTTGTTGCTTCGAATACAATGTACAGTGGAACCGCTAATAAAGAGTTTAATGCGTTCCAGACTCTTACTCATTAAGCGAAACACTCGTTAAACGAAGCAATTTTACCTTTACAAATCGATATAAAATACGATAATGTCTTCCATGCTGAAAAAATACACATTTTTCCAAAAAATTTATTAACATTTATTCAAATAAAATTACTAATGAATTGTTAAGGGGTGTAGCAACTTGGAATACAATTTAGATTTGAAACAAAACACTTAAATAAAAATATGAATTTATGACAAATAATGAATCCATTTTTAACTAGAAAACTGTCTAAAGACATTTGTTTTTTACCGACGCTTCAAAATTTGACGAAAATGTGTCACGGCATTATCATTGAATAAATTTGTAGCACGAACAGCCACCCCCTTATTAGGGTGATGCTTCTCAATGTACGATGCAACCTTTTCCCATGCTTTCAGCATTTCTCTTATTGCGCTAGAAGATTGTTGCTCTGCTACTTCCTCCTCCATTAATGAGCTTTCCTCCATAATTTCTTGCTGTGAAACACGATGCAACTCCATAAGCTCTTCGTTGGTCAACCTTTGACTGTGCTCTTTCACAAGCTCTTCAATATCGTAGTTGTCCGCCTCGAGTCCCATGATATTGGCCAAAGGCACAACCTCGTTAACTGTAGACTCCACAGGTGCTGTTCCACATTCAACAACACTCTCTGGCCAAAGTTTTTTCCAAGCAGAAGTGAGGGAAAAGGAACTTCCCCTTTCTGCGTAACTCGTTGGGCGAAATGTCGCTCGTTAAGAGAGCAACGTCTTCACATTTTTTGCTCGTTTTGTGAATTACGCGTTATGAGAGGTGTTCGTTATGAGAGGTGTTCGTTATGAGAGGTGTTCGTTATGAGAGGTGTTCGTTATGAGAGGTGTGCGTTATGAGAGGTGATCGTTATGAGATGTGTTCGTTATGAGAGGTGTTCGTTATGAGAGGTGTTCGTTATATGAGATGTTAGTTATGAGAGGTGTTCGTTATGAGAGGTGTTCGTTATGAGAGGTGTTCGTTATGAGAGGTGTTCGTTATGAGAGGTGTTCGTTATGAGAGGTGTTCGTTATGAGAGGTGTTCGTTATGAGAGGTGTTCGTTATGAGAGGTGTTCGTTATGAGAGGTGTGCGTTATGAGAGGTGTTCGTTATGAGAGGTGTTCGTTATGAGAGGTGTTCGTTATGAGAGTTGTTCGTTATAAGAGGTGTTCGTTATGAGAGGTGTTCTTTATGAGAGGTGTTCGTTATGAGAGGTGTGCGTTATGAGAGGTGTGCGTTATGAGAGGTGCTCGTTATGAGATGTGTTCGTTATGAGAGGTGTGCGTTATGAGAGGTGTTCGTTATGAGAGGTGTTCGTTATGAGAGGTGTGCGTTATGAGAGGTGCTCGTTATGAGAGGTGTTCGTTATGATAGGTGTTCGTTATGAGACGTGTGCGTTATGAGAGGTGTTCGTTATGAGAGGTGTTCGTTATGAGAGGTGTGCGTTATGAGAGGTGCTCGTTATGAGAGGTGTTCGTTATGAGAGGTGTTCGTTATGAGAGGTGTTCGTTATGAGAGGTGTGCGTTATGAGAGGTGTGCGTTATGAGAGGTGCTCGTTATGAGAGGTGTTCGTTATGAGAGGTGTGCGTTATGAGAGGTGTTCGTTATGAGAGGTGTTCGTTATGAGAGGTGTTCGTTATGAGAGGTGCTCGTTATGAGAGGTGTTCGTTATGAGAGGTGTTCGTTATGAGAAGTGTGCGTTATGAGAGGTGCTCGTTATGAGAGGTGTTCGTTATGAGAGGTGTTCGTTATGAGAGGTGTTCGTTATGAGAGGTTCCACTGTATTTTTAAATAATAACGCATATAAAAGTAATCATCTTAACACAACAGATATGTTTCTTATTATCGTGTGATCTACTCTTAAGTTATTTACAATAAGTTATTTTAAACAAAAATGTCACTGACTACTATTAGATGCCGTTGTCGTTCGGTAAATATCAGTACTAATAAGTAAACATCTTGTGTAAGCTCCAGGTCATAGATACAGATTGAGTATTAACACATATTTATGCATGAAGTCATTGTAATATCAATATATTTATATTTTGTGTCATTACATTTTGCAAAGGTAACATAAGAAAAGTCACCCAGCACTTAATAATTCATTTTTTCAGTAGTTGAAAGTCGTAGTTGTAAGTCGTAGTTGTAAGTCATATATGTAAGTCCTAGTTGTAAGTCCTAGTTGTAAGTCGTAGTTGTAAATCCTAGTTGTAAGTCCTAGTTGTAAGCCCGAGATGTAAGCCCGAGTTGTAAGCCCTAGTTGTAAGCCATTTTGGTAAGCCCTAGTTGTAAGCCCTATTATAGTTGTAAGTGCTAGTTGTAAGTGCTAGTTTTTAGCCCTAGCTATAAGTCCTAGTTGTAAGAATGTATGTAACACACTTTATCCACCCACTGTCTTTGCCCAACCCCATATATTTTTTTTAAAAAAATCTTTGCCTTTTCAGCTTTCAATTTTTTTGTTTCCACGTCGTTTTCAGCTGCGCATCGTCATAAACGCTTGGGAAGTTTGATCCCCGACAGTGGCAAGTGAAATATTTCCTCGTTTAGAGCTGGGGGTGATTACAAATCCGTAGCAAGGACTGATGGATGCACATTTTATTTGTTGATAGGCTTGTCTTCTGAACCATTGCTTTTTTTTTTTTTTTGTTGAACTATTTCAATGCTCTTTTTTTTTATATGTATAACATCAAGTCAAGGAATGTCTGTAAAGTTTGAACAATCTGTCCTGATAGGTCGAGAATTTAAAAAAATAAA